AACTATTCCTAGACCTAGGATTTGAAGGGACCTCACAGTCATCTAGACCAACCCCTGCCCGGCGCATGATTTGCTGAAGCACTTTCAACCTCTTTGAAGACCTCCAATGAATGGAACAGTGCCAATTCATGAGGCAGCTTATTCTTAAAGGTAAAGGTAAAGTTTCCTCTCACACATATGTGCTAGTCATTCCCGACTCTAGGGGACAGTGCTCATCTCTGTTATAAAGCCGAAGAGCCAGCACTGTCCGAAGACGTCTCCATGATCATGTGGCTGGCATGATTAAACACTGAAGGTGCACAGAATGCCATTACCTTCCTATCCAAGGTGGTTCCTATTTTTCTACTTGCATTTTTACATGCTTTTGAACTGCTAGGTTGGCAGAAGCTGGGACAAGTAACAGGAGCTCACTCCATTACATGGCACTAGGGATTCAAACCGTCAAACTGCCAACCTTTCTGATTGACAAACTCAGGGTCTTAGCAACTGACCTACCGTGTTAGAAAATAACAGAGTTGGGAGGGACTTTGTAGGACATCTAGTCCCACACCCCGCCCAAGCAGGAGACCCTACGCCATTTCTCACAGATGGATTAAGATTACTGTCCCATCCACAAAGCCACCTCAGAACCATATCCTCTAGGTCCAACCCCCTTCAAACGTCTTCTATTTACTCCATACCTCTGAAGTGGCCGGGTCATCTGACAAACCATCCCACTCTTCGTTTAATTCCTATCCTCTTCCTCATACTTTCATTTCCAACTACTCATCGCTCTATGTTCTAACCTCCAACTTAGAGATGGGTCCGCATCTCTCTTGACTTCTTAATGGGGTGAAGTGGTATGGTACTCAGTCTCTCCCAGAAATCTATCCAAGAAACTGTGATGCAAAGCTATGAAAGATCTCCACCTTAATCATTAGAATTGGCGCTCCAGGCCTCCAAAGCCATCTGAATTTTACAGCAAGGCCTGTGGCTGCCATGGGAATCAGTTCCTGCAGGACGTCTATGGAGATTCTGAATCATCCAAGTTATGGTTGTCCCAAAAGTGCTTTTCGAAACGCAACTGGACTTTCTTGGGGTTTTTCCTTGAAAACTTTGTCAACCCTGAAGCTGACCTGGCTGTGGCCATTTTGAGGCTTCAGTGCTATCACAACAGGAGCTGTGGGAAAGGGAGGGGGAATAGAGATAGCTGGGGGGGGAGGGGGTAGCCAAAATAAAATACTTTCTCCTGGGAACCAAGGACATTCCCACCAGGTGTCCAGAAAGAGGGGGACTGGAGTCATCTAGCAACCGGACTGTTTCCTGATTGGACCATGTGACTGATTGTTTGGAGAAAGTGAAAGAACTCTTAATTAGGTGAAAACCGTGGGAACATTTAGAGTCAGTTTTCAGCAGTTCATGCCAATATGAAATATCCAATAAATCTATTCTTTGCTCAACTGCCTCTGAGTTTTTGGAACCCTGACACAAAACCGACTCTTGACAAACGTTTCGCTTCTCATCCAAGAAGCTTCTTCAGTTCTGAAGTTCTGAAGAAGCTTCTTAGATGAGAAGCGAAACATTTTCAAGGGGGAAAAAAAACCAAGAAAAGTTCAGTTGCCTTTCAAAAAGCACCTTTGGGACTGTCCCTGCAGGCCACTCTCCTCTTTATAGCTCAGCACAGGTAATGCATGGAAATGCTATCATCTTTAAATATTAGGCACCCAGATACATGCAACTGAATAAAGCTGTTTGTTCTGAATGAAAATTATACACACATATTCGGGAGAGTTAATGACTAATCAATTACTGAAATGTCACAGGCAAAGTAATTCTATAAAGAAGCTCAGTACTTTTGACAATGATTCAGAAAAAATTTGTGTAGACTGTAGGTTTATGGGCAGTATTAAGGCCGACATTTAAAGGTCACTCATTATGGGTTCATTTTATTACTATTTGAGAATCTTTTCCAAAGAAGCTGAGCTCTCAGCCAAGAAAAACCCCAGCAATTGATGGTTTATTAGCTAACTGGGGAAACTTAGAAGCTATTGCTCTCAATTTCAATTAAGCATAATTGAATAAAATTCATCCATTTTAATGATTCAATATAGTTCATCCCATATAATTATTGTATTAAGAACTACAATAATATAGGTAAAATTAAATATAATTTACCCTTCAAACAACAGCCTAAACTACAATTATATCAAAAAGCGGAAACGGTGTGTTAATGCCCCACTGGGGAAGGAATCGTATGAACCTGGAAAGAAACTGGACTCATTCTCAAAAGAGGAAATCATTGTTTTCTACTACAGTACGTAGACAGCATGACTCAAGTTTACTGATAAAATAATTCCACTTGTGTAAAAAAAAAATTACATGTTTATTATTCCTTTGATGCTTCTTTAAAGAATCGAATAAAATTGGTGCAGTGTATTGTTGATAAAAAGAGGCTTATGTATGATGTATCTTTTTTGTGTTATTTTTTTAACTTTTAAATTGATAGTGGAAGTATTCTGCTGGCTGAATTTTGAACAGTTTCCAAATCAAAACATGAGGTCCCTTCTGAAGTTCCGTATTATTCTCTTCCTTTTTCTAAAATGAAATCTATCTATCTATTATCCATCCATCCACCCTGCTCTGACCTAGGATTCCCAAAAGCATGAAGCAAACTCCTTGTCCTGACAAAAAAAACCTTTTATTAATTTACTGTGGATTCTGCTTATTCACATCCAGCAAAGTCTTTCAAGGGAGGATTTACAGTCACAGACCTCAGCTGGTTTGAAGAGCTGCCAGGCCGATAGGTGCAAAACCTGGTAAGGAGTCTTGGAGAGTCACGAACCAATTAAGCGAACTAATTGTCTCCTGCAAANAAATGTCTTTGGACAACGCTGGCTCCCTCTGCCAAGAAACAGAGATGAGCACCACACTCCAGAGACGGACACGACTAGACAGCTTTCATTTCTTATTGCCTTTGTGCCACAGGGATTAATTTCACCTACTCCGTCTGTATATTGACAACAAGTCAACCAGCACCTTGCAGTCAACATTTAGGAATGTCAAGAACATCACTGAAGTTGCAAGGATGAAACAAAACATCTTACTTTTTCACATTCTTCACTTTCATGCTAGCTGTGGTGCCGCAGGTCCGCAAGGATAACTCTCCAGAAATCTCAGGGATGTCTGCTCCTCTTGCCTGCAAAAAGAGGGGGGGGGGGAGATGATTTAACTATTTAATTCATTTTCAGGAAATACAAGATTACCAATTCTGTTACCTACAGATTAGCTGCTGCCGTAGGATTTGATCATCTTAAACATGGGTGTAATCTTTTACACTTCCAGAGGGAGGACGTGACTTGTCTCTACATGTACCAAATATTTTAACAATGTGAATGATGTGTCCAGACATCTAAAATAAGAAAAATCTGTGTATTTCTGGGCAAGTTTTGAGAAGTAGTGAAACAAAGAGGTATATAAATACTATTTGAAATGTATTTTAAACTTAGTTGGGTCATTGTATTATAACTATAATCCCTTAATGTTTTTTTTTTATTAAAAGAAATAGAGGCAGAATACTTTTTTAAAAAAAAGGTGTAAATGACCCATATTAAATTCAGTCCTTATCTTTTTATCTGCAGCAATACCTATTTCTGAGTTGGACACAACAGACTGAAAAAGAAACTGTAAGTAGAAGGCAGTTCATGGGAAGGAGGGGGAGGAATTGTTATCCTGTTTCCTACAATTGTCACTGAACTGTTTCCTATCATTGCCAAGCACCTGCCCATAACTCAGTAATTACTAGATAGATGCCCCTTGTAGAAAGTGCCGAGTATCAGCATAGCTTCCAATAGGCAGTTTTAATCTCCCTCTACTACAGGATGTAACATGGACACAATAATCATCTCCAAGCTTCCCTCAGAGGCAGTTTCCAATTACAGCTGTATACCTGGATATCATTAGCTGTTGGTAGTAACTGCACCCTCAAACAATGGATGATTTCTCTCACAAAAGCTTCCTTCAAATGTTAAAAGAATAAAGAAGAAGGAAAGGAGCCATTCAATCTTAAATTCCTAACCAAACAGTTTTAAATGAGTCAGATCTAGAATTACCTCCATGGTGGTCATGGAGACTAAGAATCCTACCCTATAAAGGAATATAAACCCATCACTTCTTGGAACTTTTGGTTAAAGTCAGGAGTGAACCTGGCTTGGGAATGGTGAAGAGAATCATAAAGAATGACTTTCCAAAAAGTATAAAAGTAAAGGTAAATGTTGCCCTTACACATATGTGCTAGTCGTTCCTGACTCTAGGGGGCAGTGCTCATCTCCGTTTCGAAGCCGAAGAGACACTGCTGTCCGAAGATGTCTCCGTGGTCATGTGGCCGGCATGACTAAACGCCAAAGGCGCACGGAATGTTGTTACCTTCCCACCAAAGGTGGTTCCTATTTTTCTACTTGCATTTTTACATGCTTTTGAACTGCTAGGTTGGCAGAAGCTGGGACAAGTAATGGGAGCTCATTCCGTTACACGACGCTGGGGATTCGAACTGCCGAAATTTCTGATCGACAAGCTCAGCGTCTTTGCCACTGAGCCACCGCGTCCCTATTTCTTTCACAAACAAACGCTTTTAATCAATAAACCTCAA